TCTTGTATATGACTGTGATTAAGAGTTTTTCTTAGTTTCTTGATTCATTATTTAGAAGAATAAAAATAAAGAAATTTCATAAGGAAGTCATCTTCAACTTGTCATAAGTCAACTACAGCAAAACTTGTAGGAGATATTTCAAAAGTGTTGGCATCTTAATTAGCTTTGGAGAGACTTGAAGATACTTTTACTCGAGGATCATGCGGACAAAATATTAGTGTTAGTAGTGTTCTCAAACAGGTTATTGGGTTCAGTTCGACCTTTATTATGTATTGTTGGTTTAGCGAGTGAATTTGATTGATATTTTAACAAATCAAAAAAATTTCAATATGACTGGATTTATTACAGTCGATTAAATAGATTGACTTTACTTGCAAAAATTTTTAATTTAAAAAAAAGTCTAATTTAAATTTAAATAAATTTTAATATAAAATTATATTAAAATTTAAAAATAATTCAAAATAAAAAATATAATATAATTCAAATTTATCTTAAATTTTAAATATAATCCAAAAGCAGTTATAAAAAAATAAAATTAGGTGAGTTGCAAACGAGAAGAGTTTTTAGTGAATTAAACTTAAAATTGATTCATATAAAAATTTTAATATCTTTTTTTCATTCTAACCGACTCAAATTTATGATAAACCAATTAACTCACGAATTCCAACTCATTTTAATAACATGTTAATCTTTTTTAGAGAAGTTTTTGTCTAACCACATTAAACATAAAAAATAAAAAATGGAGCATTTAGTTTTTCTTTTCTACTTCTGAATTTTTAAATATACAGTGTTCGTAATATTTTAAAATATAAAATAATATAAAAATTAATAATTGATGAATAAATTATTATTTTTATATTAATTGATTACAGTTTATTAATTTACATTTTTTTAACTATAATAGTTTTATTTATTTTTAATAAGGTATTTATTGTTTAAGATCTAATTACTTGGTTTTAAGATTATAAACTTTTAATTAATTTACTTATAATTTAAGCTTAGATTGATTATGTTATTAAAGATTATTTTCCTAATATAATTTAAAAGATTAAATAAATTCAAATAAATTATGGTAAATTTCTTAAAAATATGTTTTTAAACAGTGCATAATATTTTAAAGCATACTTTAATGGAAAATAATGTATACAGAGTAAAATTATTTAGGTAATGAATTAAAAACTTTATTTATTTTTAATTATTAATTTAAAGTTAGTTTATATGTGTGTGTATTTATTGTTTTGTCATGTAAATTAAAAGAGAAAATCAAAATTCAAATAAATTGATAAAATCTAATTTAATTTTACAATGCTATCATATTTATCACCTCCATGGTCTATCAGGACAATTTCAAGGATTATGATCTTTATTGGGAAGAGAATTTATACTTATTATGTACAAAAATCAATAATTTTATTTTTGAATTTGATGAAATTAAACTCCATGAATCTTATAAATGGTTTTGGTCTTATAAATGGGTCAAATGTATCAATTTGTAAATAAATATATGAACAATATCATGAAAACATACATTAAAGTATTTCAATTTTACCCATAGTTACACATTCCTTGACAACCAACATCACCAAGTTAAAAAAATTATCTATTGTATCTATTTTACATGACACATATTAATGACGTGATGGCTTAATAGCTTTTAAATGCCAAATATCTATAATTCTAAAAGGCTATTCATTTTACTTGTTATTATTACAACACTTAACTAACATTTCAAACTATGGTTACATTTCAACGATCTTAGCATGTCTTAGAATGTTTACTTCAACTAAGACAATATAAGAAGATACATGTTATTTCTCAAATTATGGACCTAATACAATACATGCATAAGAGTTAATTGTTGAAAAGGTTGATCTAGGCACAATTCTTTCACTATCAAAAGGTTTTCTTTAACAACAATTTTACATTATCTAATATTACTTTCACATTATAATTCTTTTTACAGGAGTAATTTTACCTTGAATATACGTATGATATATAAGAGGTTATAAAATTAACTATAATGTAACTAAATATTTGTTAACGTCATTGTGTCATGATCAAGTTAAATAAATTTTATGAACTCCTTAATGCATATTGTTATACCTCTCATATGTTTTACATCCATAAAGTTTTATTAAATTGACCCCATGATGATATAATTTGCCTTTCAACAAACTTTTTTTTTTCTATTTCATTAAACTTGGATTAATTTCATAAATAAGATATAAGAGGAGGCATATTAGTGCTTCTATCACTTTCATTTTATAAACTTAAAAGTTATATGCAAATAAAGTATTACAAATACAAAATAATAGAGCTGTCAAAATGGGTAATCCGGTTCGATTTGGCTCAGTCTATCATGGGTTGGTCACTTAGTGAGTCAATCCAATCCGGCTCACTTATTAGCGAGCTGAAAAAATTCGAACTCGGTCCGATCCACCACGGGTTGGTGGGTTAACCAGGCTGGCTCACTTAATTATAAGTTTTTTTAAATAAAAATTATAATTTTTTTAATTCAAATCTAAATAAATTTCACTCTACAATGATGTTAAACTCCAAAGATAATTCAAAATAAAAAAAATATAGGTTAAACCACTTTCGCAATCCCAATTTATGTTGGATTTTCCCATTTAGATCCCTTTATTAGTTTTTTTTCCCAATTAAGTCCTTAAAAGTGAAAAATTGACTCAATTAGGTTCCTCTAGTTAAATTGGTTTAACGAGATTAAGTTTTTGGGTGTTGCTCCCTCCATCACCACCACTTCTCCCTCCACCTCCCCAACCTTCTCAAAAAAAAATTAATTACAAAAATAACCTGTTTTTACTTTTAACCCTATTTATTTACTTTAAACTCAAACCCTATATTTCTATTCATTTTTACTTTTTACTCCGCCGCACCAACTCTCCTTCTCTCTCTTTTCAGATTCCCAAATCCCCCACTCCACCACATTCGTTTGTTTTAATTACAAAAATATTAATATAATAAAATTATATATTTCATATAATTAAACTAATAAATAATTTTTTATATAATTATAAAATTGTTAAAGAATACAAAAACCATATATAAAAAATATATATTATACAAAAACATTAAAACAAAAAACTACTTATATATAACTGCAAAATACAAAAAAATATAAATATAAACTAATAACAATAAAGATCTTCAAAAATACATTATTAAAATACATCAAAAATATATTAAAAAATAATACATCAAAACATATAAATTACATTATTAAAATATCTCCAAAATTAATATAAAAAAAAACTAATAAAAATAAACTGGAAAATAAACATGTAACTTTAAACGGATGTTAGCATCCATCAACGGATGTGAGCATCCGTCAACGGATGTCAACATCCGTTTAAGGAAAAACGGATATCTGACATCCGTTTTCCCTTAAACGGATGTTGACATCCGCTGAGGGATGCTCACATCCGTTTAAAGATTATACGTTTATTTTTTTAGGGTTTATTACGCACATTCACGACGAATCCTTCAAGCACCACCACACACCGATCTTGGCACGGCTGATCAATTGCTTCCACCACCACTTGCAATCTCTCACTAAGCACACCAGCTAATGAAAGTCCACCACACTCTGAGACCACAATTCTATCACAATTAAAGAATGAAAGGAAGAAGTGAAACGTGAAAAAGAAAAAGAAGAGCATAATGAAACAATGAGGGGACGAACGATAAAGAGGAAGAATAGTTGTCGTTGCATACATGTAGAGGATTGGAATGGGTAGAGGTTAAAAAATATTAACCCTAAAATTTTACTAAGGGTAAAATAGGAATGGGAAAATAAAGAGAGGGGTAAAACAAGAATGGGGTGGTGGAGGGAGCAACACCCTAAGTTTTTTATGACCTGACACCTTGACGTGGTAAGTTTTTTATATGTGTCATTCACAAAGCTCTATATATGGAATTTGATAACATTAAACATTTTAAAATTAGGGATTTCTCAAATGTTTAATGTGATTAAGAATTAGGGTTCATTGAAATTGGGATTAAAAATCTGAAGCAGAGTGTTCTTCTTAAATGTTGCGCGAAGTGATATTTGCTTAATTAGGGCTTTGGAGCTTCATGATTGGAGTAATCGTTGGTATATGGAGGTTCGACGTGAATCGCGAAGTCCTTGGACGTGTAAATAGGGACTGCGGAAGTGGTTTAACTAAAAATATGTCATACAATCCAAGCATAATCCAAAAATATGCACAAAAGGCGAACAAATAAGTTTTTAATATTGATAATTTTTGTATCACTTGTCAATTTATAATATTATAGTCTTGAATAGATAAATCTATAATATTTTTCTCTCTTGAAACATATTTTTTTATCCCTATTTACAATATAATAAAAGAAATGCTAACTAATAATATTGAAACACAAAATAATAAATAATTAAATTAAATTAGGTGGGTTGGTAAGCCAACTCAGCCCACCACAGGTTCAATCCAGATAAACCGGGTTCTAAGTGAGCCGGGTTGAAAACTAACCCGCATAAAAAAATTACAGTGTTTCAAACTCAACCCCCCATGGTGGGCTGAGTTTGTTCGCAAGTTACAACCCATTGTGACAGTACTACAAAATAATAAACATAATAATATTAATAATAATAATAAATAATAATAATAATAATAATAATTCATTATTATTATTATATATAACTTTATGATAATGAAAAACTAAATAAATTCTAAACTTTTAATAAATAAATTTTTTTATTTTAAGTATTTAATAATATTTTTATATTATTTATCTAATAAATTAAATATTTTATTTAAGTTATTTGAATTAAACATATTGATAAATTAAATAATAATATAGTGTTAATATATATATATATATATATATATATATATATATATTTGTTGTATAAATTTAAAACAAAATTTTATAATTTATTAAATAATTTGAAGAAAAAAAAATATTATACCGAAAAGAATGGAAAGAAACTTATTTAAGGAAAAAATGTAAATGAAATTTGGCGGGTGCATACGGGGAAGGAGAATACAGTTGGTAGCGTCGGAAGGAGGAATGTGAGATGGGAAACAGCGGAGAAGTGGTCGGCAAAGAAGAGGTTATCACAAAACTGAAGGACGATGGCGACTTTGACAGGCTTCGTTTAAAGATCGTTCGTAAGCTTAAGGATAACATATTCTTTCCTCCTGTTTCTTAATTTTTCTTCTTCTTCTCGTGTTAGGGTTTATATCAAATGATTTGAAAGAAGGAACAAAATTACTCTATCACACTTTACGTAACTGCTCATTACTTCCTAATTACTTTTAAACTATTCAGATTGACTATAATTTGTAAGTGTTAGTAACATAAGGTTGCGTCTCGGTAGTATTAAATTCAACAATTGATGACAGGAAGAGCTACGGCAACATATTGCTTCAATTGTGAAACAATCAGTAGCACTCAATCGTGCTGGAGCAGAAAATATGAAACCTAGACAACTTTCTGATGTTATATATGAAGAAGTTGGGTGAGTTCCCATAGCTATTGTGTAGTTCTAAGTTGCTATTTATTTTCAAGGCATGTCGGGTCTCTTTGTACTTAGTGTGGAATTTTTTTTTTTTTTCTTGTAACCAGTGATAAAGTAATGGGTCAGATATCTGATAGTTTATGGCAAATAATTCGATCGGGTGATGGCATGAAAAAGGAAATCATGGAGACGGTGCAATCTGTCTATGATAAACTGGCAAACCCGAAAGGGAAAGATGAGGTTATGTTGTCCACATCTGATGTGATGCCAATTCAGAGACAAGGGGAAACAGCTTCAGCTACTGAAATTGATGATACATTGCATGAAAATGAGCCCGATGAGCCGCCAGGTTTCACTCTCGGGCATAATCATCTGAATAATAACGAGGACCAGGACAAAGGGAAGGTGCAGGTTCAGGTGCAAGGATTAACTGCAGAAAGGAAGGAAGATTCCCATCCACCACAGGATACTCGTGGTGAAGATGATGTTGATGGCAATGCCCCCCCTGGATTTTCAATGGACGTGGAGCAGAAACCGCCTGCTGAATGCAGTGATGAAGACCCTGATGTACCTCCTGGTTTTGGTTGATGTATTGGAAGGTGTTTTATTTTTTCTTGTATTCCACAGCCATTGCTGTTGTTCCATGTTCCAGTTGTTAAATTTCTGTTTTCGATTATGATTAACCGGCTAAAAACAAGAGTCAATCTGGAGGCCTGTTGACATCCCTATCAAATATTGGATGCACTATTTTATTTGATAGTCTTAAGGTCAAACTATTACCTGTAATCTTTAGTAGGAACTGCTACCAGGTTTTTCTGACATGGATGATGGATCTTCACGATGAATTTTATTAAAGTCTATTGACCAAAATAGGTGCTCTTTAAGCAATAGTTTGCAGTTTGTATATGTTTTTCATCATTTTATTGTTTTTGTCGGAAATCCTTAAGACATTGAAATAATGCGTTTCCTTAGTGGTTTCTATTTATTTTTCACCACTACTCCCATGTTCGTCTTTTATTGAGGTGTTCTAACTACTAACTGGTATCAATATCTTGTACATTTTTCTAAACCATTCTTTCTATTCATTTGATCAGGGATTTGCCAAGTACATGGTTAGTTATCAATAGTAGCGAATAGTTCTGATATTGCTCTCGCAGTGTCACATTTTTCTGTGTAAAGATGCAAATAGTCTCTGCGTTGAAAACTTTTTAGTGGTCAAATCACAATGAACAGAGCAGACATACTCATCACTGCTAGCCCTTTCCACAACTCAAACCCTTCATATTGTAGCCAACTCACCCCAATTTTGCTTGACCTACCTCTAATATGGCAAAGCTCACACCTTTGTAGCCTTACTTTTGCCTTTCAACATCTTTGTTTCCTGTTGTCTTCATATCTTCCATGCTAACCATGCTCTGGCTCTTCTGTTTTTCTAAAATATTGTCAAATCTCATTGTCATCCATCTAGTTCAAATACAATGCCTGCACAGCCAGATTTTATTTTTCTTCCTATCTTCTTTTTTATCTCAACTGTTTTCTTTTTCCCAATGTAATACGAAAAGTCATTGTTTTGGGGGATTCATTTTGTTGTCTCTTTAAACCTTTAACCTCTGATTTTGCTTTTCAAACAGGAGATGAAGTTGCCTTCGTTAACATCTTGTTAGTTGCAACTCATGCATAACCTGTTCGAAACATTTTTGTAAGGGTAAGTATTGAGTTCTTACAATTCATAGTTCCACATTTGAATAATAGTTTTGCTGGCGCTCTGTTTTTTCTGAAAATTTCGTCAACTTGCTATTTTTGTTCAAAACCTCCTATGCTCTCATTCGCAATCATGTCTTAAATTGATGATGAATCTGCGTTTGACTTTGAATTTTGTTTGTTAATCATGAATATATCTTTAATTTTGGTTTTCTTTTTTAAAGCATTTATGTGTATAGTACAAAATATAAATCACTTATCCGTATAATCTTTTGTATAATGGCCAGTGCTAAAGTGTTGTTGGAGTGGATCAATCTGTGCTTGAAATCTCTTAGGAAACTGGACAGAATGGAGTGGCCTCTTAAGGTCTATACCGCGTAGGCCCAACATCTAGGGTCAACCTTAGAGTAACGCAGGCAGGAAATGGGGAAGGAGGCAGAGTTAGTTGTGAACAGAGAAAGGATAACTAATTCTTTTATATATAGGACGGGAGAGAATAATATAGGGTCATTTGGAGAATGTCTTGGTAATTGGAGTCTAGAGTACTTTACTCTGATTTGGGGAGGGCGGTGCCATTTATCTTTTATTCTACTGATTTTCTTTTAATTCAGAAGTCCATAATACTAACTCAGATACTGATGGCAAATTCCAAAGAAAAACTATGTCTAAGTAGTTATAATTCGTGGTTTACACAAATTGATCGATTAGTTCGTTTCCGAAGTTTCAGTTCAAAGAAAAATCTGGCACCTGTCCGCATTTTCTATTAAGCATGGTTATTTTACACCATGCTCTCCACGTTAGTTATTGATTCCTAAAAAAAAAGAAAAAGAAAAAAGAAATAGCTATTCATTGTTTGGTTGGCTGACGAATTTTACTTGAACGGAGATGTTACTTTTCCATTTCATTTTTGCACGCTCGTCACTTAACTTAAAAGGAAAATTTGAAAATCTTTTGGAGTTCACTATGCATATATGGAACAATACTAGAAAAAAAAACTGTCGTATGATTTAGGTTTGCCACTTAATACAAGTTGAAGCTTATTGTTGGAATATTACACTCGTCCCATTGTAGTACTGTTGGTGCCTGCTAACGTTGTTGTCTTACACAAAGTTGACTAAGATCGGACTCCTTACAGTGTGTTTCACAGAGACCCATTGTAAAAACCCTTGAGCATATTCCGCAGTTTCATTACCCGAATCTATACGGCTGAATGACACTGAATATTTCTGTTTCTGGTTTGCTTCTGAAAAGTTCAGTATATTTGGCTGGACCTTCACATTGACCCCTTCTGGCGCTGTAACATGGACAACATAAGACGAGTTGGCCTCACCTACATTTGTTACAGTCCTTGTGAATGTTTTTGGGGAACCAAGCACCACGGAAAACGAGGGATAGTTGAGCTCTCCTTCGAGAATGCTTGAAGTCTCAGAGCACTTAATTGTTTTATGTGCAATGATCCCAACCTCTGTATCGCTGTAGCCTAAACCACAGAGATAAGGTATATAATCATCAGGCGTGATATCATAAACTAACCCAGGGTCATTTGCTCTTGAGGGATTCACGTGGCCAGAACCTGCGGCAAAGACATCTGCTGTGTGAAGTGTTTCATCAACAATGAGTTTGTTTTCATGGTTGATTATGTCTGCAGAAGTCATTATGGCAGACTTTATGGTAGCTGGTGACCAGTCAGGATGAGAGCTTTTGAGCAAAGCGGCTACGCCACTAAGATGTGGGCATGACATTGATGTGCCGGACATGATGTTGAAAGTGGATTTTGAATCAGTACTGTTGTTAAGGGGGAATGGCCAGGCAGCTAGGATGTTGACGCCTGGTCCTATGATGTCTGGTTTCAAAATACCAGGACTGGGCAAGTTGGGACCTCTTGAAGAGAAGGATGAAACGGCCGGAGATAGGGAGTTTCCTATTACAGTTCCCTTGAATAAAATGGTAGCTGTAGGTGTTTCAGTTGAATTTATATAGGCTTTAATCTTAAGTCCAGCATCATAGCTTACATGTGTTGCTGGTAGAACATGCACATCAGCTGAGAGACTGAAGCCATTGCTTTCATCATTCATGAGAATCATGGCTGTACCACCTGCTCTTTTAACTTCCTCTCCTTTGGCGATTCTTCCTATCCCCCCTCCTCTCTCACACAAAACAACTTTGCCTCTAAAATCAACATCATTCAAGGATCCATTGGCACATAAGGCAGCTTGTTGTTTGCCATTCTTTCCAGCATATGTTAGGAACAGCGGTGTTGGAGAAAAGTCGGAAGGCTGGAAAACAGATTCCCCATCAAATTCTTGTCCATTTCCTAGCTTGGCTGTTGCTACAATGCTTCTGTCAATATTGCTTGCTCCGACAGTGAGGATCCAAGGCGCGCCATTAACCAAGGAGCCGTGAACGGGACCAGAGTTCCCTGCTGCACAACTTACAAAGATTCCCTTCTGCATTGCTGCAAACGTGCCTATTGCGGTGCTATCATTGAAAAAGGGAGGTGGCTCGTTTAGACCAAGGGATATTGATATTACATCCACGCCATCCTCCACAGCTGCATCCAATGCGGCCAATACACTGCTTTCTGGGCAGTCTTCTCCAAAACATACTTTGTATATTGCCAGGTGAGCATGAGGGGCAATCCCTGCTGCTGTACCTTTGGCATTTCCTAGTACTTCTGCATTATCAACAAAAGCACCAGCTGCAGTGCTCGCTGTGTGAGTCCCATGTCCATCTTCATCAATTGGTGTCACTGTTTCTTTCGTTGTCTCTGAAGCGAGGTTGAAAGACCTAGCTCCGATTAGTTTATTGTTACATGCTGTCCCATTAAGCTCGCATCTCCCTCTCCATTTGGGTGGTGGTGGTGGCATTCCTGCATCATTGAATGAAGGATGATTAAGCGTGATTCCAGAATCCAGCACCCCAACAATTACTCCCTTTCCAAAGTTTGATTCCTTCCACAGTCCCATTTGTCGCTCCAACCCCAAAAATTGTGGGGTATGTGTAGTTTGACGATGCAGCATCCTTTCGGGGTGAGCAGAGATAAAGCCATCTTTTTTTTCCACTTCTCTCAGCTCTTGTTCAGTGAGTGTTGCAGCAAAGCCACTGATGACGTTCCGGTATGAATAAATCATTCGTGGTTGATCCTCTGAGCTCATAGTAGTTGGTGGCATGAATGAATTATGCCAGCTCTCTACATCTTCTGATTGAGCAAGTGTCGCACCCTTTGGGCCCTTCACATGGATAATATATGTTTGTGAAATGGTGGCGGTTGAAGGTTGTTGATTTGCTTGAGCAAAATGAATATGGAAGATCAAGACAAAGGTTAGAGCAACGAGAAAGAAGGAATCCATGTTGAGCAGAACTGCAGAAGCTGTCTGCTGTAGAGAGAAGAATAAATGGTAAAGACTGTGATCTTTGGTTGGGTGTGGTTTAAACAAACTATTAGTATATATAATGAAGCTTGTAACACTGCCGGCCTGGGCTCATGAGGACCTGGTAACGTATAGTGAGTAACGTGGTATTGGCAGAATCATGACCGACTTACGTGATTTAAAATTTGTTTTTATGTAAACAAAAATTATATTATTTTTATTGTTTTGGATTATGACTGGAGAAATAATACCATTTAAGTATATGTTATATTTGATCAAGAATTTAAGTATTATGAATATCAGTAATGTTAAAATGAAAACTTCTTCTTCTTTAAAAATCAAGTAATTTAAAATAATTCACTAAAAATACCGAGATTAATCTTCTTGTTTAAAAATACTGAAGATGAATGTGAAATAAAAAATAAATAAATTTTAGCATTATTATTATTTACCTGAATATTTTATATTATAATATTTTTATTTTTCAAAAAATCAATAACAACAAATTTAGTTTCAAATTATATTAAAAGTTATAAATTATTTTTTATTTTAACCCCTTTCTTAAAATAATTAAAATTTAAAATCAATAATCTTTATTTTATTTTGTTTTTTTTTGTTTTCCTTCCCATTTTGAAAAAAAAAATCAGAAAACTCTAAAATGATAAATTTTTCTTTAAGAAGGTATTATTTTTAGTGTCGTCAAATGGGTTGAAACTCGAGAGTCAACATGGCTTATCACGGATTTGAGTCGGGTTGGGTTGGAAAAAAATGTGAAAATTTTGATGCGAGCCAATTTTGACCCGGCTCACCTGAGTTGAACCCGTGGTAAGCCGGGTTAGCTCACCAACCCATCTATTTTTTTATTGAAATCAAATTAATTAAATTAATTATTTAAATCTTATTTTTTTTATTGAAATCAAATTAATTAAATGGTTCTTTTGTCATGCTTCATAGCTTAGAATATAAAACAATAGAGTTCTTTTGTTTCATTTTCTTTTATATTAATTGATTCAATTATTACTGTTGTTTCAATTTGATCAATCAAAGTAACATGTTATAAGAATCTCAGAAAAAGAGAGTGAAAAAATTTAACCCACCAACCCGTGGTGGGTCGGATCGGGTTCAAATTTTTTCGGCTTGCTAATAAATGAGCTGGGTTAGGTTGACTTACTAAGTGGCCAACCCGTGATGGGTTGGGTTATCCGTTTTGACAGCTCTAATTATTTTAGGAAAAGAACCAAATTATCTTTCTCTTATTTTAATTTTTAATATTTACTTTTTTTTAAATCTCCTTTAACAAGCAAATAAAGAACAAAAATCACAAAAAAAATCTCTCAAAAATTCAGTTTTCAAATTTTAAAAGGTTTCTTATATCAAACATTAAAAAATCAGTTGACAATTCGACTCATTTAAAGAAATAATGTTCTATTGGACCTGTTTGAAGAATTTCTTTTAAGAAAGATATTATTTATGAAAAAAATTTTGAGGATGTTAATTTTGTAATATAATTTGAAATAAAATTTGTTAATATTATAATAATTTGTAAAATAATAAAGAAAAATAAATGATTTTAAAATTTTACAATATTATAATCATTATTGTTATTATTCTTATTATTGATCATAAATATACTTTTATTATAATATTAACAAATTTAATTTTAAATTACATTAAAATATCATAAGACGTTTTTTATTTCGTTCCTTCCATTAAACTAATTAAAATTAAAAATTTAATATTTTTAATTAATTACTTTAAATTATTGTTTCATAATTTTAGTTTTAATTTTTAACTTTTTATTTGTCCTCCTCACTCTGGAGAAAAAATAAAACAAAAATAGATTTCTTTCGATAAATAATATAAAAAATCAAATAAATTTATTTTAAAATATTAGTTTGCAAAAAAGAATATTGTCTATCAATTATAATTTTGTATTATAGCTCTGGGCCCACAATTGCGCATTAGTCTCTGGTTGGAATATAGTGAACTTGACCGGCATCGTTATATCCGTAGCTACCATCACTCTATTTTCAGCGACTCTGATTATTAGACTTTTAGCAACCATTTGTCATGCCAGAGAAAGAGCATTATGGCAAATATTTCTTTTTCTCTTTCTTTTCATAATCTAGTCATCCATTAATACTTTTAATTTTCTGAACAAAACGTCTCACTAATTAGAACAACTATAGTTTCTATTTAACAGCACTTCCTAAAATCTTATTCATATAACAAGTAGAATGTGACCTCATTGCTTACAGAGGCTGTGGTGCCTCTTGGGTTGCTGCTACTGTAATTTTTAATTTTTAAACATTCTACGCTAAATCTTTAGAACGGCAAAATTATAATTTTTAAAACTCTGACAACTCTTCGTGTACAAACAAATTATTATTTTAAATGTTTGAGAATTCATTCAAAGCTTCATATTATACTCACTCAGAGAGGCTTTTAAAATTTTAAGTATATTTGGGTTAACAATAAATGTATGTTCAAAGGATATCTAACATTCATATATTAACATTTATTTATTCGATTAATTAAAAGTGAAAGTGATTTTTTAATTAAATTTCAAAGAAAGCTTACACAGAATAAACTTAATTATAAAATATTTACATGGATTAATATATATTATAATACAAATTAAAATAATCTAAATATATAAAAGGAACTTATGTAAATTTGTATCAATTTTTTTTTAATAATAAAAATCTTATATAGGAGAGTGGAGTATTTATAATAATTTTATCATGGTAAAACTAAGAAAGAATAAATATGTTTTTACATCATGAATTTTAAACTTAGTCTTATTTTATCAAATGTAATAATGTTAAGTGATATGTATGTGTGTTTGTGTACGTGTATACATATATAATACCTGCCTCTTATTAAACCTTAGTAATTTTCTTTATCAATTTTTTAATTTACTTTATAAAAGAAAATTAAACATTTTGCATAACACAATACAAAATAAATTGAATAAAACTAATTATTTTTTATAAATAAATAATTAGATAAACTCCATTGAAAATAAATTGAATAATAGCAGCACAAATAAATTAGAGATTAAAAAATATCAATATACTACTAAAATAAATTAAATAATAAGAACATAGAAAAAGAACAAACATATTAATATACATAAATTAAATGGTAGAAATATAAATTAATGAATAAAAAAATAATATAATTTTAAATAAAAAGTTAATGCAACAAATGATCTAATAATCATAATGACAATAAATATATAGAGAGAGAGAAATTTTTTAATTATATATAATTACAAGAATATAAAAACAAAACAAAAATAATACAAAATTACATAACCATACTCGGAACATACACGCGATCTTTCTCTAACACTAAAATTTGTGTATGGTAAGAGGAAGAATGGACCCTGTCTTCTAAATTTGATTGTTAATCATAGCCTAAATTAAAGGTGAATGCGTGTTTGACTTTTTCCTTTTGATTTTTAATTCTGAATATATTTTTAAATTTGGCTATTCTTTTTTTTATCAGATTTATATAGATCATGAATCTTCTATTTATATAATCTTAAATATAGTAACTATTTTTATAGTATTTATATAATATTTAAATATTTAAATATTACAAATGTTATGTATAATTAATTATTGTTTTTTATGTTCAGGTTATTAGTATGCTAATTAACTATTATAGATATTCTGTTATGTATAATTAGTATTTCTACAAAAGGAGATAAAACAATTCATGTGTTCGTTTTGAAAGACGAATCGATGGTGTATTTCTTTTCCTAATTTTCTTTTTCAAAAATACAAAATTCCATTTCACTGTCTTGTTTAAAAAAATCAAGTCAACATATCAATGTGCAACATCAACGTATATTAACTCAGTCCAGCCAATTTAACGGTAAAATTTCAATTACATTAATTTTTCATAAGTTGGAATTCAATTGAGAACAAAATCAAGTAAAAAGTCAATTTGAAACGAAAAATTTATGATGACCATAAATATAAAAGCATAATCTATTTTCAATTATTATAAAAACTGTATTATGATGACCATAAATATAAAAACATAATTCCTAAATTTAAGTTTATTATAAGATATCCCAGTTGTAGCTGGTCCCATTGTAATTCTGCTCGATGCTAGCAAATGTTGCCTTACACAAAGATGACTAAGATCGGACTCCTTACAGTGTGTTTGGCAGAGACCCATTGTAAAAATCCTTGAGCATATTCCGCAGTTTCATTGCCTGATTCTATACGACTGAATGACACTGAATATGCCTCTTTCTGGTTTGCTTCTGAAAAGTTCAGTTTATCTGGCTGGACCTTCACATTGACCCCTTCTGGCGCTGTAACCTGGACAACATAAGACGAGTTCGCCTCACCTACATTTGTTACAGTCCTTGTGAATGTTTGTGGGGAACCAAGCACCACAGAAAATGAGGGATAGTTCAGCTCTCCTTCGGGAATGCTTGAAATCCCAGAGCACATAATTGTTTTATGTGCAATGATACCAACCTCCGTATCTCTGTAGCCTAAACCACATAGATAAGGTATATAATCATCTGGCGTGATATCATAAACTAGCCCGGGGTCATTTGCTCTTGATGGATTCACGTGGCCAGAACCTGTGGCAAAGATATCGGCAGGTTGAAGTGTTTCGTCAACAATGAGTTTGTGTTCAGAATTCATTATGTCTGCAGAAGTCATTATGGCAGATTTTATGGCAGCTGGTGACCAGTCAGGATGAGAGCTTTTGAGCAAAGCGGCTACGCCACTGAGATGTGGGCATGACATTGATGTGCCGGAAAGGATGCTGAAAGTGGATTTTGAATCAGTATTGTTGTTAAGGGGGAATGGCCAGGCAGCTAGGATGTTGACGCCTGGTCCTATGATGTCCGGTTTCAAAATACCAGGACTGGGCAAGTTGGGACCTCTTGAGGAGAAGGATGAAACGGCCGGAGATAGGGAGTTTCCTATTACAGTTCCCTTGAATAAAATGGTAGCTGTGGGTGTTTCAGTTGAATTTATGTAGTCTATAATCTTAAGTCCAGCATCATAGCTTACATGTGTTGCAGGTAGAACATGTACATCAGCAAAGAGACTGAAGCCATTGCTTTCATCATTCATGATAATCATGGCTGCACCACCAACTCTCTTTACTTCCTTCCCTTTGGCAATTCTTCCTGTATCCCCTCCTCTCTCACACAAAACAACCTTGCCGCTGAAGTCAATATAGTTCAGGGATCCCGTAGCACAAAGTGCAGCTTCAGGTTTGCCATTATTACCAGCATAGGCTAAGGGTAGCAGTGGAGTATAATTGGAAGGCTGGAAAACAGATTCGCCGTCAAATTCTAGCCCGTTTCCTAGCTTTGCTGTTGCTACAATGCTTCTGTCAACATTGCTTGCTCCAACTGAGAGGATCCAAGGGGCTCCATTCACCAAGGTGCCAGAGAAAGGGCCAGAGTTCCCCGCTGAACAACTTACAAAGATTCCCTTCTGCATTGCTGCAAACGTGCCTATTGCGATGCTATCATAAAAAAAGGGAGGAGACACGTTTAGGCCAAGGGATATTGATATTACATCCACGCCATCCTCCACAGCTGCATCCAATGCGGCCAATACACTGCCTTCCGGGCAGTCTTTTTCCAAACATACTTTGTATATTGCCAGGTGAGCATGAGGGGCAATCCCTGCTGCTGTGCCTTTGGCATTTCCTAGTACTTCTGCATTATCAACAAAAGCACCAGCTGCTGTGCTTGCTGTGTGAGTCCCATGTCCCTCTTCATCAATTATTGCATCTGCTCCTTTCCTTGCATTCACTTCTCGGCCGAAATACCTTGCTCCAATTATTTTGTTGTTACAAGTTGTTACCTGGAATTCACATCTTCCTCTCCATCTGGGTGGCGGTGGTGGCATTCCTGCATCATTGAATGAAGGATGGTCAGGCACGATTCCAGTATCCAGCACCCCAACAATTACTCCCTTTCCAAAGTTCGATTCCTTCCACAGTCCCGTTTGCTGCTGCAACCCCAAAACTTGTGGGGTATGTGTGGTTTGGGGATGTAGCATCATTTCGGGGCGAGCAGAGATAAAGCCATCCTTCTTTTCCACTTCTCTCAGCTCTTGTTCCGTCAGTCTTGCAGAAAAACCACTCATCACGTGCCGATATGAATAAATTATTCGTGGTTGTTCCTCAGAGCTCATAATCGTAGGTGGCAAAAATGAATGATACCAGTTCTCCAAATCATCTAATTCAGCGAGTGTCCTATCCTGTGGCCCCTTCACATGAACAATATATGTTTTTGAACTGCTTGTAGCAAAATGAATATGGAAGCTCAACACAAAAGTGAGAAGAATGAAAATGAAAGCATTCATGTTTAGCAGAAGGTTTCTGCTTGACGGATGAATAAACAAAGGTTCTTTAATTGAGTGTGCTTTGAACACACGTATAATAGAAAATAGATCTTGTACAAAACAAAGGAGGCATATATATGCATATGTTAGAAGCCCATATTGTTTAGTTAGTAGTGCTACCCATATAATATAACGAGCTTGGCCGTTCAAATTCTATTATTTATTTCTGTCGTTGACTCTTGGTTTTGTTGAGAAATTCTGAAAGTGCAACCTTTTGTTACGTGTAAACGGGCATGAACCCCATAGCTCAACTCTATGGTAAAGAGCTGTGAGTGTTTTTTTTTTTGTGAATAATCTTTCCAACATTTTTTTACATGGTTTAAAACTATTGGTCTTGTTTAAACACATATTTACTTTTTAAGTATGGTCTAGAATAAATTTTTATATTTTTAAAGAAGAAGAAAAAATTAAAAATAAATGTAAAAATATTTGTGTACGCTAATAAATGTAGTGAGGTTAGTCAAATATTTTTATAATTTTACATTATTTTGAGTATAAAATTTTATTGGTGAAATGATTCTTTAGAAGCACCTTTTCAAACCTAAAATACACCTAGAAGACAGACAGAATAATTTCTTAATTTTGCCTCTTGATTAATATGTTTGTGTAGGTTACTAGAATAATTATTACTTATGACATATATAATATATAAACTAAACATTCCACAACTCAATTCAATTATGAAAAGATCGTTTTTAATATTAATATATGAATATTAAACTCTCCTATAACTTGAACGAGTCTTGGAATTCAGTAATGAGTAGAAAAATTATTCATGTTTAAGTCGTTCTTCTACCATATTTCTGAACAATATATACACTTTTCTATACATCTATTCTATACGTTTCTGCTATGTTCTATAACTGTGTTGCCTTGTCTTGCTAGAGCACTTACACATGCATGTTAATGCGATGAACGCTTTATGCACACTGAAACTAGTTTTTCAAAAAGAGAGAAACGTTAATATTGTTATCTATACGTTAGTTAACTTTTACTTTTAGTTTAATCATTACAGTAGTTCCAGTTCTTTGTTAGAAGTAGTAGATTGGTTTCTCAAATTTTTTGTTTTAATTATTTTTTTATTTTTAGAAAATTAAAGTAATCATGTTTTTTCTATAATATTAAGACAAGTCTTTAGTCTAGTTATTAATTGTATGATTATTTAGTATTATACAAGTCTTTTTAAGAAACAATATTTGGTCTTAAGTTTAGTACTTGAATGATTTGGTAGGTTTGTTAATGAGTTAAAACTTGTCAACTAGGCATATATTCAAAAAGAGGGATTACACACAAAAAAAACATAGAATTGAAAAAACCACATATTTACAAATTTTAAGAACAACAAAATGAAAAAAAAAAATTGAATGCAAGGCTAACTATACAACTACAACTTAAGTCTTCAATTCCCCACCAATGGCGGCGCCATTTGTTAAACAGCCTTATAATTGCATTAAGGCTAACAAAATCCAATAAATCCCTCTAACGTTGCATAAGGCAATATCAATCCAAGGAAGTGGTACATGTTAAGCTATAAATTGTATAATTGACCTTGCTAAAAATAGTATAAAATGCAATGGAAAAAAAAATGAGTTTAAACGAATATCTAATGGCTGTATAAAAAAAATGCATGATCCTATCTAAATGAACCTAGTGTATGCATGTGAATTGATCATAGAATGGTCTAATTGATGAAAACTGATGCAAAGAATGCAATGAAATGAATCTAACAATATTAAATTGGTAAAGAGGATGCAAAGTATGTAAAAACTCTAAGTGGGATTTACAGATTATGCATGAAACTGGAAAATGATTACATAATTGAGATTCCTATGTGACAGACTACATGTGTTTTTGTGCACTTTTTTTGGTTTACTAATAGAAACTGAGTTCCTAGGATGCTAATACAATTGTAATGACCTAAACAAATGAAAAGGGTCTATTTCCAAGCGGATGAGTAATTGACTTAAATGTTAAAATGAGCATTTGCCTAATCAGAAACTAAATGACAGCAAACACACAATGACAATAATATAAATCTGAAATTATGCTTAGAAATGGTAAAGTAGAGAAAGCAAATGCATAAATTAAAATAGCCAATTGGGTGTCAACTACTATGCACAGCACTGGAACAGGAAGTAAGATCAATGCAGAGTATGGAAACTTAATGCAGAAGTAGAACATGATGCAGAAAAATTATTCAGGCAAGGTGCAAATGCAAGATGAATTGGTTTTAAACTAAGGAAATATTCTACTTATAATCACAGACAATTGTTAAAGGCAGAAATTAAAGAAATGTATTCAAACTTAAAAGAGAACCAACAACATAAGATACAAGAAAAATCACAAAACTTAGGACTGAATGCTCAATTTAATTGGCTAATTGAATATGAATTTGCTTCAAGAAGACTTCTTGAACAAAACAAGCTCACTCTGGGGTCTTATAGCCTTTCTTTAAGAAACTGAAATAATACATATTCTTGTTCAATTACACAAACATATTGAGGTTCAATTCTGAAGAGAAACTTACAAGTTCTGATCACTAATGCTACAATGCCAACCCAGAAACCAGAAACTAACCATTCAAATTAAAGTAACAATCTTTTTTAAAAGAACCAGTTTCTCCCTACACCCTTTTCAAACCAAGATGCGGACTTACGTAAACACACACAAAGAAAAGCAAACATAAGATTGTAACAAAGATAATACCATAATGCAAGAAAGATCTAACTGGTGCATGAAAAGTAAAAGAACTGAATTTAAAAGACAAAAAAATTGGTAAAGTTGATAATCGAAAACAGATAATGGCAGAAATAACCAGCTGCATTGCATTCAAAAAGAAGATTGTACAAGAAGGTTACATTACAGATTCATGAGGTAACTTTGTATTCACAAGAACTTATAGCGCTATACTAGCCTCACACAGCAGATTCAAGACTCGTCCCATGGTTACTTTGCTCACCACTTCCATTCTATCATATTCCTAGTGAAAAAAGAAAAGAAAATGAATGATTGAATGATGACTCTATGGTGGTTCGTAGGTATCTATCTACTTTCTCTCTTCACATTGTTCTTTACATAAGAAAAAGAAAGGAAAACGAAAGCTGAGATCGAGCCCCATAGTGCAATTACAACTACTGAAAAAGGGTTCCTCTTGAGCGACATTCTTCAACTCCTCTTTGTTTGGTCAACGACTAACTCTTCAAAACACTGCAGGCCCTTGAGACAACTCCATCTTCAGGCAATGGCACAGCTAATGTGTGCTCTGGTTCATGAGTTAGGTATGATGCAAAATTAGGTTAACCTCCAACCATGGTTCAACCCTGAAATTGGGAAAAAAAACCAAATTGTTCTGCCTGCGCCTTTGTGACTGTGCGTTTTCCCTCCACCTCAGCTAGGTCAAATTCCTTTAGTCCAAGTCAGCCCTTGACTAGAGACCACTATGCAAATTGAGAGAATTCAGAAAGGTGTTAAAGTCAAAATATGCAAAATTAAAGGCCTATCTAAGCAAAAATTATTTTTATTTTTTTCCTTTCTTAGATTTTTTCTAAAAGGGAGAGAGACAAATTATTTCAAGACATTTTAAGTATCTAACAACAAAATTAACAACAATTTTACAAAAATCATATTTTAAGACCTTAACTAAAATTTGACTTATTCCTAATTATTTACAACCTAAAAAAAACTAAGAATGGACTTTTAAGAAACTAAAAAGGAAAAAAATAAAGTATTAACAATTACTAAAATAGTCTCCTAGAGTCTTGTTTGACAAGTTTAATAGTGTAGTTTAACAATTTAGTATGACTTGAAGTGAGACAAATTATTTTGTCTTTTACTATCACTCAAGTGTTTGATGCGTCTATTTAATAGTATATGTTGATGACATTGTTCTTACATATAGTGACCACCATGGCATCTTCCAAACAAAATAACACATATGCAATCATTTTCATATCAAAGATCTTAATAAACTCAGATACTGCTTGGGTATTGAGGTAGCACAATTCAACTATGGTATTGTTATATCTCAAAAACAGTGTGCATTGAATATTTTGGAGAAAACTAGGTTGATGAATTCAAAACTTGTTGACGCACTCATGGATCATAATACCAAACTCCTATCAAATTAGGGAGAACGTATTTCAAATCTTGAGTAGTATAGAAGATTAGTTGGAAAATTAAATTATCTTACAATTACTCATCCTGACATTTCCTTTGCAATCATTATGGTTAGCCAATTTCTCAATTCTCCATGCGAAGATCATTAGAATGCGGTCATTCGTATATTAAAGTACATTTAAGGATCTCTTAGAAAATGTCTATTATATGGTGCCAATAATCACACAAAAGTTGTTTATTATTTAGATGTTGATTGGACATGACCTCCTTCTGATAGAAGATCCACCTTTTGGTATTGTGTCTCCATTGATAGTAACTTGATTTCTTATAAGAGCAAGAAACAAAATGTTATGGTAAGATTAGTGCAAAAGTAGAATATAGAGCTATGACTTTAGTCACTTGTGAATTTGTTTGGCTTAAACAATTTCTTAAAGAGTTACAATTTGGAAATGTCACTCAAATGACAATTATATGTGACAATCAGGCGACTCTTTTTAAGTTATAATATTGTCTTTCATGAAATGATCAAATACACTGAGATTGATTGTCATTTCATTCAGGAGAATATTATATATGGAGACATCAACATTGAGTTCATTAACTCAAATGATCATGTAGTAGATATTTTCATTAAGTCTTTAAGGGGACTGACAATTGATTATATTTGTGACAAGTTTGGTACGTACAATTTATATGCACCAACTTGAGAAAGTATGTTAAATATATTGTGTTTTATGTTAATTAGTGAAACATAGACTTTTGATATTGTAGATATTATTGATATTGTTTTTTAACAATATCTTTTATTTACCATATTTATTTAAGTTGTCTATATACTTGTATCA